ACTATTGGCACTTCATCAAGATAAAAAGCTTTTGCACAGCAAAGGAAACAGTCAACAAAACCAAAAGACAACAACCAACAGAATGGGAGAAGATATTTACAAATGACATACCAGATGTCAAAGGACTAGTATCCAAAATCTATAAAGAACTTATCAAACTCAACACCCGAGGAACAAATAATCCAATCAAGAAATGGGCAGAAGACATGAACAGACATTTCTACAAAGAAGACATCCAAATGGCCAAAAGACACATGAAAAAGTACTCACCGCCGCTCAGCTTCAGGGAAATACAAATCAAAACCACAATGAAATACCACCTCACACCAGTCAGAATGGCTAAAATTAATAAGTCAGGGAATGACAGATGCTGGCGAGGATGCAGACAAAGGGGAACCCTCCTACAGTGTTGGTGGGAACATAAGCTGGTGCAGCCACTCTGGAAAACAACATGGAGTTTCCTCAAAAAGTTGAAAATAGAGCTACCCTATGACCCAGCAACTGCACTACTGGGTATTTACCCCAAAAACACAAATGTACTGATACGAAGGGGCACCTGCACCCCAATGTTGACAGCAGCAATGTCCACAATAGCCAAACAATGGAAAGAGCCCAGATGTCCATCGACAGATTAATGGATAAAGAAGAGTGGTACACACACACACACACACACACAATGGAATATTATGCAGCCATCGAAAAATGAAATCTTGCCATTTGCAACAACATGGATGGAACAAGAGGGTATTATGCTAAGCAAAATAAGTCAATCAGAGAAAGAAAATTACCATATAAACTCACTGATATGTGGAATTTGAGAAACAAGACAGAGGATCATAGGGGAAGAGAGGAAAAAATGAAACAAGACAAAACCAGAGAGGGAGACAAACCATAAGAGATTCTTAATCTCAGGAAACAGACTGAGGGTTGCTGGACTGGAGGTGGTTGGGAGGAATGGAATGGCTGGGTGACGGACATTAGGGAGGGCATGCATTGTGGTGAGCGCTATGTATTGTGTAAGACTGATGAATCATAGACCTACATCCCGGAACAAATAATACATTACATGTTAATAATTTTTTTAAAAAGAGCCTTTTCCATGCTACCCAGGAAAGGGTTCATATGGTGTTGTTTTGCCTTCCTGCCGCAACTTAAAGGGAAATTTTCACAATGTCTGGAGCCCTTGAAGTTCTGCAAATGAAGGAGGAGGATGTCCTCAAATTCCTTGCAGCAGGAACCCACTTAGGGGGCACCAAACTTGACTTCCAAATGAACAGTACATCTACAAAAGGAAAAGTGATGGCATCTATATCATAAAACTGAAGAGAACCTGGGAGAAGTTTCTGCTGGCAGCTCATGCCACTGTTGCCACTGAAAACCCAGCTGATGTCAGTGTCATATCATCCAGGAATACTGGCTAGGGAGCTGTGCTCAAATTTGCTGCTGCTACTGGAGCCACTCCTATTGCCAGCCGCTTCACTCCCAAAACCTTCCCTAACCAGACCAGCCAGGCTTCCAAGAGCTTCCAAGAGACTTCTGGTGGTTACTGATCCCAGGGCTGAAGACCAGCCTCTTACAGAACTGTCATATGTTAACCTACCTACCATCACTCTGCGTAACACATACTCTCCTCTGTGTTGTGTGGATGTTGCCATCTCTTGCAACAAGGGAGCTCACTCAGTGGGTCTGAGGTGGTGGATGCTGCCAGTGAAGTTCTGCACATGCGTGGCACCATTTCCCATGAACACCCATGGGAGGTCATGCCTGATCTCTACTTCCACAGAGATTCTGAAGAGAATGAAAAGAGCAGACCACTGTGGAAAAGGCTGTGACCAAGGAGGAATTTCAGGGTAAATGGACTGCTCCAGGTCCTGGATTCACTGCTACTCCACCTGAAGTCACAGACTACTCTGAAGGCAAACAGGCGCTCTCTGTTCTTATTTAGCAGTTCCCTACTGAAGATGGAGTGCTCAGTCTGCTACTGAAGACTGGTCTGCAGCTCCCACTGCTCAGGCCACTGAATGGGTACGAACACCACTGAGTGGTCTTAAGCTTCTCTTCCAGAAAGGCAAACAAAATGGAAATAAAGTTGACGGTAAATAAACAGTTTGTAAAAGTGAAAAGTATATACATACAAAACTTCCAATTCCTTTGGAATAGACACAATACTCCATAGCTGAAACTTTACACACAGAATTAAGATTCTTCAACCATCAAGTACTGACTATGTCAAATATAAATTTTAAATTTTAAAAACATATCAACTAAATTCATCCAAAGAGCTTACCCAGAGAATTTAGATGGTGATGTTTTTTGATCAGCACATTGGTTGATTTGGGGTTTTAGTTTTTTTTTTTTCCTAATTAATGTTTTGGTCTTAGGCCTTAACTACCATATCAAAAACATTTTTTTAAAAAGGTAATTTATGGGATGCCTGGGTGGCTCAGTTGGTTAAGCCACTGCCTTTGGCTCAGGTCATGATCCCAGCATCCTGGGATCAAGTCCCACATTGGGCTCCTTGCTCAGCAGGGAGCCTGCTTCTCCCTCTGCCTCTGCCTGCTACTCTGTCTGCCTGTGCTCACTCTCTCTCTGACAAATAAATAAAATCTTTTTTTTTTAAAAAAAAAAAAAAGGTAATTTAAAGGGATGTCTGGGTGGCTCAGTCAGTTAAGTATCTGACTCTTGGTTTTGACTTAAGTCATGAGCTTGGGGTCCTCAGATCAAGCCCCGTGTCTAGCTCTGCATTCAGTGGGGAGTCTGCTTCTCTCCCTCTTTCTCTCTCTCTGCCCCCGCCCCAACTCATGCACACATGCTTGCTCTCTCTCTCTCTAAAATAATTAAATAAATCTTTAAAAAGAAAGGTAATTTATAATAACAACTGTGATGGTCTCTATTCTTTTTTAAAGATTTTATTTGTCAGACAGAGAGCGAGAGCACAAGCAGAGGGAGTGGCAGGAAGAGGGAGAAGTAGACTCCCCACCAAGCAGAAAGCCCGACGCAGGGGTTAATCCCAGGACCCCAGGATCACGACCTGAGCCGAAGGTAGACGTTCAACCAACTGAGCCACCCAGGCCTTCCATGTGATAGTTTCTAAATATATTCACAAATTCTTTAATACTCCTCCCTTCAAGAAGTGGAGCTTAATTCTTATCCCCCTGACTATGGGCTGCCCTTTGCAACTAGCTTGTAACAAATGGAATATGGCAGAAGAGACGGTTAAAAAACAGATCATAAAGAGATACTGTGGCTTCCATCTTGGTTACTCTCCAGGATCACTTGCTCTGGAAGAAGCAGGTTGCCACAATATGAGAAGCAATCCATGAGGCAAGGAACTCGGGACTCTAGCCAACAGCCACATATGGGGAACTATCTTAGAAAAGGATCTTCCAGTCACAGTCAAGCCTTCAGATGGCAACAGCCCCACCTGACATCTTGACAGCAACCTTATGAGAGGCCCTGAGCCACAGCCACCCAGCTAAGTCACTCCCAGATTCCTGACATATAGAAACTGAGATATTAAATAAATGCTTGGTGATTTAAGCTATAATGTTTGGGGTAATTTGTTACACAGCAGTAGGTATAATTACAATAAGGCTAATACAATAATGGTAGCCCTTCAAATCGTTCAAGGATTTCCTTTTCAAATTACTCATCTTCCAAATATGTTATTTATCATTTGAGACTTAAACACTGTCAGGGGTATTGTGTGCTGTGCAGCACTGGAGGCTGGCACAACCAAAGGTGTAAAGGGCAGAGGAAAAAGCTCACCAATCTGACAGGTTCTTTTCCAAGCCCCAAGGACAGCATGGGACTTGGGGGCCAGTGAGCACACCGAAGGTTCAAGAAGAGCCTCTGCTGCCTGCGGTGTCTCACCCTGCCCCATGCCAGGCACAGCTGCCCTGCCCCCAGCTGCATCAAGTGGAGGAGGCAAAGGGAGAGGAGGGTGGCATCACATGCCCAGGCCGTACCCTCCATGCCCAGGGGATGAAGACCTTACTACCATGAACAGCCACTGCCTCCACAGAAGGCCATCAGATCAGCTGCTGAAGCACTGGGGTCCTCATGATCCATGTGCATGCTGCGATCCACCACTGCATTGGGTGCTGGGTGGCTATGTCATCAATGGGCACACCAAGGCCATGGTGGTGTCTTACTCAGGCAATAGGCTGGGGTACATAAGGCATACGGTCAATCCCCACAGCAATGGACACTGTATCACCTACTGTATTACCTAAATCAGAACTGGGACATCAAGGTGCATGGCAGCCTGCTGCCAATCTCCCCAGAAGACTGGCCTATAACAACCAACATCAAGCCACTCCTTGATGGGCTGCTCATTTTCTGGACTGATCAGTGGAACCTCCATGAGGTGGAACCAGCTTATGCCACCAGGTATGCCATCACTATCTGGTATTTTGATGCCAAGGAGTGGACAGCAACCAAAGACAAGTTATCAGCTAGCATCCAGAAAGAAAGGTGTCCAAGTACCTGTTACAGCCAATTACACCCACACTGTGACCAGTCCCAGAGCTGCAAGGACAGATAGCCTGCACTGATTTCAGGAGAGCCTCTGGCCCCGTGCTGCTGGCCCAACAACCCACCAGACTCAGTGCCTGCTCCTTTTCTGCCACTGCTGCTGCTTCCAGCTTTGCCTCTGTCCTGACTAGTATAGAGGGCTCAGCCTGACACTGAGGACCAAGGAAGGGAGAGACCTCTCCTGTCCTGTGATGGGAGCTGGGATTATGCCTTGAGAAGGAGCCAGGATTGGGATCTACCATCAGTGGAACTGGGGGCCTGTGGTTTACCCTGTCTGGTTCTGTTCCTCTCAGGTATGGAGAGCTGGAAAGAGCCACTGCCACCTCCCACCAGGATGCAGGCTTGGAGGTTGAGATGCATGGCCTCTTGCTCGTAAAGCATTGTTGGTAGAGTATCCCCAAGCCCCTTACTCCTCCAGCCCAAAATGTGAAGTGACTCTCCAACCCCTATGGCCACGGCACCTTTTGGACTACACTGTCACTGCATGGGCAGGATAAAAGGTGCTGAGGAGCATGGGTGTTAAAAGTCCTATCAGCCAAGAAAAAAAAAGTTTACCCCAGAGCTGGAAAAAAAAAAAGACTTAAACTTTGTGTACAAAGAAAATTTGTCAAACAAATGTGAATCGTGTAAAGTCAAAAATACTCATGGCAACTAAAAGAAAAAAACCATTTACAGATATGACTAAGATGATAAAACGAGAAATAATTTCCTTAGCAGTAAGCTAAATATAAGCACGCAACCACATGAAGAACAGAAAACAGAAACTCTTAAATGAAAACTGAAAGAAGATGTGCAGGAGACTCCTACTTCTCATCACAAGCTCCTCTGTCTACTTGATTTCTTACCATGTTCATGTATATCTTCAAAAGCAAAAACAGCAAAGTGTATGCACTCACTTGCCACTGTTAGCCAGCTGCCTGAACTCCTTCACTGTCATGGCTTTTTTCTGGATGTTGTATTGAGTGAAGAGTCCAGACTGCCCAGTGACCATTTGCTGAATCGGTGCTGGAATAAGCAAATTATCAATGTCATCATAGCACTGCCGTGGCTTCCATTCCCGAGGAGGAATCACCTAAAAATAAAATAATAAAATAAAATATTATCCAGAAAATATTCCAGGTAGTCATTTAGCTTTGATATTCCAACAGAAGAGAAGTGAAGAATTTCTCAGCATTTCTGTAACAAATGTGTAGAAGAACTATGAAGATTCAGAGTAAGGGAAATGCCTTGTATTCTCCTAAATATTCACCTTACTGATTTGATTTTTTTAACAACAAAATTTATTTAGCATTATTCCAAACAGTACTTTTATTAACTTATTTTTTAGCTGATACTAGTAACCTCTCAATTTTAAAAGTAAAATTGAAAGACACACAAAATAACTTGAAATTCAATCATGCTTATATTAATACAATAAAAAAATAAGCAAATATATGTTTAGTCAGTATTTTTTTTTTAAATACCTCTCACACAACATGGCAAATCGCAGAGTGGTGTGCTAGTAAATGTTTAACAATCAGTTTTCTGGGAAGGTGGAGAACACCTTGAATTTGTAGCTCTCGCCTGTTTCCATGATGTAACTACACCCATCATGGCTAATTTGAGCTTACCAACATGTCATCATTGAACAGGAAGTCGAAAAGAGACATACATTATCAATGCTTTTGTTCCCATATGAGGTTGTTCAGCACACCACTCTTTTCCAACAGTATTTTTTTTTTTTTAAGATTTTATTTATTTACTTGACAGAGATCACAAGTAGGCAGAGAGGCAGGCAGAGAGAGAGGGGGAACCAGGCTCCCCACTGAGCAAAGAGCCTGATGCGGGGCCTGGATCCCAGGACCCTGAGATCATGACCTGAGCCAAAGGCAGAGGCTTAACCCCCTGAGCCACCCATGTGCCCAATTTTCCAACAGTATTTAAACACTTAATCATTAACAGTGAAAAGATCAATAAACAGTATGACCAAAAACATATACGCTTATGATTAAAAATTAGAAGGGACAAAGTTATCAAGTCATGATTTATAGATGGAATATATTCACCTTTAGAAACTGTTTCAATTTCTTAAGAAAAACTTTAAAAAATTAATTGCAAAATATAGATAGCACACATCAATAAATGCATGATTACAAATATGTAACTGTGAATTATAAAGCTACACCAGAGTACCTCTATGTGCCCTCCAAACACATTTATCTCTTGCCCAATCACAGCATTTATGGTATGCATTTCCCTGCTAGGGTTTATATGGCTTTTTTGGGTGCCTGGGTATGCATCCCTAGCACCGGTTTTTAAAATGAATGGAAATATAATCATCCATATATACATATCTTCTTTGAGGTTTATCTTTTGTGTTCCACTCAGTATTTTTCTGAGATTCAAATATGATGGTCTATATAGCTGAAGTTCACTGATATTCACTCCTACTGTACTCCCTCATACAAATATTTATTCATAAATGGGGAACCATTTAGTGCTCACTTGTTTTTTTCTGATTATTTTGTTTGTTATTTCTGATTATTCTGTGATTTTGCAAATAACACTGCTATAATATTGTTGTGTGCATTTTCTGCTGCATATAAGCACACCATTCTCTAAAATAAACACATATCTACGGACACTCCCAACAGTGAAATTATTGGGATGCTGGATATGTATAGATCAAATTTAACAGTTATTACTAAATGTTTGTCAAAATGGTTGTACCATTTCACATTCCCACCAGCAATGTATGCAGTCTTTTTCTTTGGCTCCCCATATTCATCATTACTTTGTATTGTCAGTCATTTAAATTTTAGCCTTTCCTAGAGGTTGTGTAATGATAGTCAAGTGTAGATTGAAAGAATATGAAAAAAAAAGTGAGCTGTCAAGTCTAAAGTTAATTTAATTTTCATCAGCGATATAGAGATATTTCACATTTTACTTCCACCAAGGTATGTTAGTTTAAAATGAGAATAGATACAATCATATTATATGCTGTTGAAAACACATACTCAATACTTTAAAAGAATTTGGATAATTGTAACAAATGCATATGGATAAACATACCAAATTGTCTTCAGGACATATTGAAAGGGGAAAAGGTTGTAAATACTAACTTGCTCTTCATCAGAAATAAGTGCAAATAATCCAAAAAATTGAAACATGGATTGATTCAGGCTGTTGTTTAGAAACAAATATATCTATAATCAAAATTAATATTATATTTCGAGTTCAATATTTTCCTATCTGTGAAAAAAGTTTTGTAGCAATTTTCTTTTCTAAATTTAGAGAAGCAATGAATGTAACAAATTTATGAAAATTAAACATTATCTTTATAAATATTTCATGTATGTGTTCATTTATTTTTGATAAAAGTGTTCAGACAGAACTTTAAAAATTTGTAAGTTCAGGTCTATAATAAAAATCTTATTTTTGGACTGTAATTTTAAATCTCAGATTTTCTTACATAGGAAATAGAAGCACAAGATACATAGGACTTTAAAAGACTCCAAAATTAAACTTTTACATACAATGACTCTTTAACTGAAGGAAACCCATTCCTCCTAAAGTTTACCTTCTTATTATATCAAAATAAAAACAAACATTTTATTTTACATCACCATTTCCCCAATCCCAGCCTGCACCCTATACTCAAAAGAAAATTTCTGACTGAAACCTGTAGTTGCCCTACTTATCTTGAAATAAGTTGCTATTATCACCATCTAAATACTGAGGAAGAAGGAATAAGAGGAAGAGCAGTGCATCTTGTAATCTTTCTTCACACCTGGAGGACATAGATCACTGTCTATACTCTCCAGGCTATTCACAAAACTATGTAACGTGCATAACCTATGGCCCAGGACAGTCTATGTCCAGATTACTGTCATGTAATAATTTTACCCACTTCATATGTAATAAAGTTTCCTCATAATCTTTCTCCACGAAAACAATGTAAATTTTACATTTAAAGAGACTGTGATCTTCACCTTGCCAACTTTACAACTACCTTTTAGATAGAAAGTCTGGGGTCAAATCTCTCACTATGGAAATAAAAGTTAAATCTAAAGTATAAATCTTAAAAAATGTTGATAAAAGAAAAACCAAGACAGACTACAATCTAAGGCCAAAGTCACTACTACTGGAACTACTCAACCCTCTTCTCCAAATCATAAATTAAGAACAATTCATTAAATGGTGCATTAACAAAGAGTCTCATGGGTGGCTCTGTCCCCAGGGCTTACTCTCAAAGCAAACTAGCAGCATTAATACAGTTTTGATTTTGACAACTTGATTTGGTGCAATTTTATACATTTGCTCTTGCTGCAAATTCCAGGAAAAAAAGGCAAGTAGGTGAAACTGACTTTATGTGACTTAGTGTGAAAGGTAACAAAAATGGCCCAAAAAACCCACAAGAAACAAAAGAAAACAAAACAAACAACAACAACAAACAGTTCATTGTACTCCTAGTAGAAGCAAAAGAAAATTATCACAAGACTGAATAAATGAGTATCTCCAACTTTGTCAATAAATCTCATTCAAAAAAAAAAAGTCTGGGGCATCTGTGTGGCTCAGTAGGTTAAAGCCTCTGCCTTCAGCTCAGGTCATGATCCCAGGGTCCTGGGATAGAGCCCTACATCCGGCTCTCTGCTCTGCAGGGAGCCTGCCTTCCCCTCTCTCTCTGCCTGCCTCTCTGCCTACTTGTGATTTCTGTCTGTCAAATAAATAAATAAAAATCTTTAAAAAAAAAAAAAAAAAGTCTAGACTCAGGTGTGTTTTGTTCAACATTCAGAAAACTAACTGTGGTTCTCATTAACTTCATTCTGTTACAGAATGCCAGCAGTGGCACAGGTGTACCCTTGGGAGGATGTGTGCTGCTTTCCCTTCTCATGTTACTAAACGTGCCACCCTACCACAGCACACTCCATAATCTCAGTGGAACATAGTAAAATCTATGTTTTCAAGGAACAAAAGGGGAAAAGAGCAAGACAAAGGGCTGCATTCAAAGCCCAGAGAAGGGGACAACCAGTTACCCCCAACTTTCCTCCACTCAAATAAAGCCCAAATCCTTGCTACCCCACTGCTAGTTTATGATCAAAATTACATGTGTTAGATAATCCTGAAATGATAGTCTCTTCAACTCAAAAATGATTTTTCTCAAAGGGGGCAGTAGGGGGATGGTTTTCCTCCAGATCAAAGATACTGAAGTGCTGAGGTTCCAAAAGTGGGTTCTTTAAGAACTCAATAAATAGGGGCTCCTGGGTGGCTCAGTGGGTTAGGGCCTCTGCCTTCGGCTCGGGTCATGGTCCCAGGGTCCTGGGATTGAGTCCTGCGTCAGGCTCTCTGCTCAGCGGGGAGCCTGCTTCCTCCTCTCTCTCTGCCTGCCTCTCTGCCTCCTTGTGATTTCTGTCTGTCAAATAGATAAATAAATCTTTAAAAAAAAAAAAAAGAACTCAATAAATAAGTTAAACTAAGGATCCCTCATCTGAGAAATTCATTATAAACTTCTTAACTTTTCTCTTTGTTTCCTCTTTTATCTTCCTTTTCTGTCGCCCACCCCTAATAAACTTTCACTCAACTTAATATCCCCCAAATTTTAAACCCTTCCTAGGCAGGACTTGAACCATACACAACAAAATGACAGACCTCAGGGGACAGCTAACAGCACAGTCAAATTGGGTTATAAGATGCAGGAGGACTTGAATACTAAAACACCCCTGCAGTTCTGGGACTTCTCTCCTCTGATATCTGCTCTTAATGCTACTGGACATCCCGCTGGATATGGGAATTCCACGAAGAACCCATGACCCAGCCACAGTCGAGCAGGCTCTGGCAGGGCTCAGGATTCATGAGGTAATGCTGACAAATCTACAGAAACCCAGATTACAAGCTTAACGTTTAGAATAATAAAATGAAGTAAGTACAATAAAACATACTCTTCTGAGGGGACTTTTTTCCGTCCCTCACCCCTTAGCCTCTTACGAAGTAAATTTTTAATTGAAATATATTTCCAGGGACGCCTGGATGGCTCAGTTGGTTAAGCGTCCAACTCCTGATTTCAGCTCGGGTCATGATAATCAGGGTCATGGGATGGAGCCCCTTGTCAGACTCTGCACTCAGCATGGAGTCTGCTTGTTCCTCTCCCTCTCCTCCCCTCATTCACACACTATTTCTGAAATGAAAAAATCTTCTTTAAAAAATTGAAAAAGAAATATATTTCCATTATACATGGAATAGTAATCCATCTCAGGTTGTGATCAAAGGATGAGTTATATAGATTATCTCTCTTTCAAAGTTCTAGCTTTGGATCTATGGGTGCAAACCCACAGTGCAATCTTCAGTGCCTTACTATGACCCTCAGCATATCACAACAACCCCTGACAAGACTCCCCATTTCCATTCTGTCAGCACTTTTCCCAGTCTGTCCACTCTGTCTCCCCGCAATATTCATTCTTCATGTAGGAGCCATTGTGACACTTTCAAAATAATGTCACTGGGATGCCTGGATGGCTCAGTTGGTTAAATGACCAATTCTTGATTTCAGCTCAAGTCATGATCTTAAGGTCCTGGGATAGAGAATGCCCTGTGGCTCCTTGCTCAGCAGGGAGTTGCTTAAGGATTCTCTCCCCTGCCCCTGGCCACCTTCCCCCTCCACCACCGCTGACTCATGTGCACCTGCACACTCTCTCTCAAATACATAGCTTTCAAAAAAACAGAACAAAACAAAACAAAATAATGTCACAAAAATAACAAACACACAAATAGCCATCATGTCTTTCTCTCATCTGCTTTAAGCCCATCAATGATTCCCACCGCACTTCAAGTAAAACCCCCAAGGCTTACTAAGCCCAAGCAAGCCCAGGATGATCTGGCCCCTTCCAGGGCTCTTACCTTACTTACCAACCTCTTCCTCTGCTCACTGAGCCCCAAATTCACAGACCACCTTCCTATTCCTCCCACACATGAAGCTCAGGTCAGCCTTCAGGCCTCTGGACTTGCTATTCTCTCTGTCCCCACATCTTGAAAAAGTTGGTTTCTTTATATTCTTTTGGCCTCTGCTTAAATGTCCTTATCTCACCACCCTAAGAAGCTACCTCCAGAATATAAACTCAACAGGGGCAGAAATGTGGTCTTTACTATCCCATCTCCCAGGACATGGCAGTACCCGGTATGTAGTAGGCACTCTCCACACTTGATAAGCAAGTAACTGAAAAGAAAACAGAATACACAAATCTACAGAGAAAGAAAATAGATTAGTGGTCACGTACAGCTGAGGGATAGCAGGGAACAGAAAATGACTGCCAACGAGTACCAGTGAACTGTACATTTTAAGTGGCCAAATTGTACGGTATGTGAATTATATTTCAGTAAATCTGTTATATTTGTAAAAGGGGAAAGAGAGACAGAAACAATTAGAAGGAAAAGAGGAGGGAGAGAGAGGGGAAAGGGAGGAGTTACGTTCCGGTTAATAACGGTCCTCTATGAGAAAGTGACGAAAGCTATGAATACTCTCACCTCTCTCTGGAGACCATACATGGATCTCTTTAGTTTCTAGAAGCCACATGTCTTTAAAAAAAAAAAAGAAGAAGACGAAGAAGAAGAAGAGGAAGAAGAAGCCCTAGAACACGACCTAGCATAAATAGTTAAAAGGAAAAATAAGACAATTATTCTTTGAAGATAATAAATGCTCTGCATGAATTAATGAAAACAAAATTTGCGAATATTCTCTGGAATAAACCATTTCCCATATTATGAAGACTAAGAGCAAAAACGAAAGGCCAAGTGATTGTTCTTAGTTTAAAGGATGTGAGGATAATCACCTTTGCAAGACCTGCTCGATGGGCTCCTTTAGACTCCATGTATGCGAGGTATTTGTTGAACTCCCGGAACTCCTCCATGGAGGGTCTGAAGGTCATGATCTTACAGCTGGGGTTCAAAGGACTCTCCACCTCGGCCACCTCCATGATGGCTGGGGCAGTCTCTGCAGAGGAGATGATGCAGTCATCAGCACTGAATTACTGTGTGCTTAAGGCTGGTGGTCATTTCTCCCAAACAGCATATAAGCACCCCAGTCCCAGCAGAAACTCTTCTCTTTTAGTTACTTACCATTCTCATTAATACCCCATTAAGGAGACTTCCTCATCTCTCCCAAACTCTTGGGAAAAGAACCTGTTTTGAGCCATTCCTCCTCCCAAGTTCCTATTCCTGCATTCAAACACTGACCTGATTATATCGCTCACCTCTTCAAAATCCTTCCTAGTGAGAATGAATTTTCTAACTTTCCAAGTTTACAAAAGGTATTGTTCCTATGTACCAGTTCTGAAACAGACTCTCTCACACACACAACTGTATAAAGGCCTAACCTTTGATGAGTAGTGAATGGACAATGCCCAACATCCCCAGCACAGGATTTTTAAGTGTCCTAATATGCTTTCCTATAATAATTTACAAGCTACCCATTCAGCAAAACTACCAAGTACCAGGCTAAAATACTAGAGATAGAAAAAAGGGTAAGATTTGTCTTCACCATCCAAAGTTACTATCTAGAGGTGGAACAGACTTCAGTACAAAACTGTACACAGGCAGAGGTAATTAACTCCACCTAAATTACTCCAAAATGACTTCAGAGTTAAGACTTAGTAGAAGGTATAGGGGTTTGCCAGATAAGAGAAAGAGCATTCTGAGCAGTGAAAATATCTGGAAGTATTGTTGAAGACAGAATTTAGTTTGCCTAGAGTTCAGAAAGGAAGGATTACAGGATATCAAAGTAGAAAAATAGGCAAAAATATGAACTAAATCTTGCTGACAATAACCAGGATGATTCCCTCAATATGTACTGAACACTTCAGACATACAGAGTGAAAAAATTAGTAAGAAGCACTGGCCTGCCTGCCCCAGAAAGGATTCCTATCCCCATCCCACTTCTAGAACCAATAATGTACCTGGTATCTGACAATCCAAACAACAAATAGTCTCAGAACAAAGCTCTTTTTTTTTTTAATAAATTTAATTTGCCCGACAAAAAAAAAAAAAATTGGGAATAGATGGAATACATAAAGATGAAAACATGCTATGGGATAATAAGAGGTTAAAATGGATCAGGGCTACAGATAAAGACATGATCATCATTCATAAAGGTTTAAATAAGCATTCTCTCACAAAATACATGTGAGAAGAATCAAATTAATCCTGCCACCCACTAGGAACTTAAATATAAAGGAAAAAATCTGCATGGAGGGGCGCCTGGGTGGCTCAGTGGGTTAAGCCGCTGCCTTCGGCTCAGGTCATGATCTCAGAGTCCTGGGATCGAGCCCCACATCGGGCTCTCTGCTCAGCAGGGAGCCTGCTTCCTCCTCTCTCTCTGCCTGCCTTTCTGCCTGCTTGTGATCTCTCTCTGTCAAATAAATAAATAAAATCTTAAAAAAAAAAAATCTGCATGGATATAGATAAGTTAATACATGACATAAAATATTCTATATATATATTTTTTTTTAATTTAAATTCAATTAGCCAGGGAACCTGGGTGTCTCAATCATTAAGTCTCTGCCTTTGGCTCAGGTCAGGATCCCAGGGCCTGCTTCTCCCTCTCCCTCTCCCCTGGCTTGCGTTCCCTCTCTAGGGGTCTCTCTCTCTGTCAAATAAATAAAATCTTTAAAAATAATTAAATAAAAATTAGCCGACATATATTACATCACTAGTGTCAGATGTAGTGTTCAGTGATTCATTAGGTGCCTATAACACCCAGTGGGGTAACTGGGTCATGGGCATTAAGGAGCACAAGGGTTCTGATAAGCACTGGGTGTTATTCTGTATTCTCTTTGCCTCAGGGAGGAAGCATGCAAAAGAAAAAACCTTCCAGGCCACCTCCCCACCCACTTCCCTTCACACCTATATAACAGATGTGCATGCCCAATGCTGGGTTGCAGGATGAAAGTTTGACCTCTATACAAGACACACATAATCCTTTAGAAGCACCTAGATCAAACCTTTACCTAACTATCATGGCCTTGTCTACCACTACAGTCTGCATTATATTTTAAGCTCCAACAACGCTCACTGATTTGTGCTTCTCAAAACAAGTAGAACCCTCTGTGCCTCTGCCTAAATCATTCCCTCCCATCAGGGCAGCCTTTAACTGTCTCCTCACCTGGCAAACTCCTGGCCACTGTTAAGATTCTCAATCCTACCCAAGTAGGCCTAGGTGAACCAGCCTTTGTGTTTTGACTTCCCACCCTATATTCCTCATAGTAGTTGCCTATCACAGTGGTTGGCACTTCTGACCATACACTGAACTCTAAACTCAAGGGAAAAGCAGGCTGTCTCTGTAAACCCTAACTTCCAGTCTGAGATCCAGCCTGGTTTGTAACATCTGCTATAATAACTATTTGCTAACTGAATAAAGAAATAAATGCCAAAATGTTGAAATATTTATACAAAATGATACCAAATGCAGGAAAAAGGAAAGCACTGATCTCACACACAGAAAAGTTACTTAGAAAACAGACTCATTGCTTGACAGGTAAAGAATAATCTGAGCAGTGAGAAAGGAGAAGCTCCCAGACTACCTTTGTAGAAACATTTGGTACCTGGAAGGCAGCTTTACTTTTACCCTGGCCAAAGAACAAGGGTGTCATGCATAGCTCTCCCACAGAGGAAAAAAACACTAAAAAAAAACTCAAAATCCATCCAGTCTCTCGAAGAACCACTACTGAATGCCTAACTGCTGAGTAGGCATTCAGGAGGGAATGAAGAGAAACCCTAACAGGAGGGGAGTGAAGCAAACAATAAATAAGTCAGAAGCACACTGAAGAAGAAACCAAGGAGTAGTTATTTTATATAGGGTAAGTGAAGAAGCATTTCAGATGCCTGAAGGAGGGAATAAATCATGCAGATAACTGGAAGAAAAGCATTTGGACTAAAGTAACAGCAAGGAGTGTCTTGGGCTCTTCGAGGAATAGGAAGGATGTAAGTGTGACTGGAAGTCATAAAGCAAGAGAGTGGAGAAAGGGAAAGGGAGAAAAGGAGTTTGGGGGAAATAATCTGGGACTCTTCCCCTTCTTATACATTCTCATTCTTGATACTTTCAAGAAGATGACAGTGTTTTCTAAGGTAACTCTTCCAGAGGATTTTAAGCAGAGCACTGAGCAGGCTCATCATTCTGACTATTGTATCAAAGACAAGGTTGGAAGCACAGAGACAATTTACACCAATCCAGGCAAAATAAAATGGTGACTTGGACCAGAAGTGGGCAGTGAGAAGTGGTCAGATTGCAGATACATTCAGAACAAAATTTCCTGATAGAAGTGAGAGAAATGTGCAAGTCAAGATTTCTGGTCTAAAATACAAAACAATGGCTCTGACAAGAAACTGATGCAATGAGACTGTTAAGATATGCAGCAAATTAGTAGCAATCAGAATTAAATATCTGCCCTTGACCTAGTTTGCTAACTTGTCTGTGAAACATACTTTGCCTCCTCCTCCTGTCACTATTCGCTGATAACACAAACTGAGTTCTACCTACAAATCAGGTACATACACTAAAGACCTAGTTAACTTATGTTTCAGACCCTTTTCAATCTATAAAGTTAATATATGATCACTATAAAATTTGAAATATGCTAAAATTTCTAAAAATTTAATGTTAATCCCACGACCCAAATCTTTGCCAACATGACAGGCAAAAAAAAAAAAAAAAAAAAAAAGTCTATTGTTAAGTTTCTTTTTTTTTTGGACATTAATAACCGTTTTCATTTTATTTTTGGGTTGCCTCCTTATGTTCTCTACCCTTAAAAGGTGGTTTATAAGTTCACTATTCCTTGAGTTTTTCCTAATCCACATTTATCACTATTAAGCCTAATCATGGTGCTACAATCAAATTCCCAGTCACCCTTCTTTCTTTTACCTTTAGTTCTCTGAAGCAGAAGAGTAGGTTCAAAATGCTTTTGCAGTGTTTCCTACTCAGAGAAAGACTTATACTTTGGGGAAAATATACCTGTGATTTTCAGCTGGAGGTGATGTAATTAATAATAATTTTTTTAATGCCACACCTCTTACAGACAGTCCCCAAAGTGAGTGACAACAGCTGATGACAACTTTATTGTTTTGCTTCTAGAGAGCGAGTCGTCAATGATTTTTCAGACCACCTAAACCAAACAGCCAAATTTATAGTAAGCACCCTAAGAATTTTTTCTTAATTAAAGATCTTTTTCAGCAAGTGAAGGAAAGTGTAACACTAATTCATACTTATAGAACTCTCCCAAGCTTCTGTTCTGAAAAGTTGTACTTTATCATGAAGGAAAAACATGTGCTCTTTTTATCTTAATCATATATCTTTATTTGGCAATTGAAAAGAAACTGAAGTAATGCTTTGCTGCTAAATGTAAATCTATATCCTATATAACTTTCCTGTGTACACTTATATTTCCAAATTGTGTTCTCTTATTTAAGTAATTTCTGCGGAAAATGTAAAAACACATGATTCTCATCTTAGGATTACTCGTTTCTTAGACAATGCCTGCCACAGAACTGGTATGCACTGCTTATGGCCTCTGAAGAGAATACTTAAGGATCAACTATAAAGTACAACCCTGGGAGATAAAGCACTCACCATTTAAGCAGATAATATATTAAGCTAAAAAGAAAATGAACCAAGGCACGATTACTAGCTATGCCAGTGTTAGATGAGAACATTACCCCCATGATTCCTCATATGGACCTGCTGGAACCCTGGAGGCCGTCCTTTCCAGTCCTCACTCACTCCTACTTCCCCTACAGTGAGATTTTAGAAGAAACTGTCCAGCCAAGGCCCAGATGTTACAGATATGACTACCTTGCTCTACTTTCAGTAGAGCCAAGTGCCACGTCCACCAGAGTGAGGGCTTGGACTTTGCCTGAGGTAGCTGGAAAGCTGGCATTTCTATTCCAACACTGTAATTCACCCAGTTTGGTCTCACAGTGAGTCAATAAGCTTCTTCTTACATA